CTTCCCACCTTCTTCCTAATTTGAGTTTTGAGAATCAAGACAAAGGTGTGATTCTGAAAGGTCAGAGGGTAATTTCAACCTACCCTTAGATCTATCGCAATAATATTTGAGAAACAAAAATCCTCAACAAAACTGCCCTGGCTGGTGTGGCTCAGTGGATTGAGCGCTGGACTGAAAACCAGTTTAATTCCCAGTCAGGGCACATGCCTAGGTTGCCAGCCAGATCCCCACTTGGGGGCGTGTGAGAGGCAACCACACATTGATGCTTTTCTCCCTCTGTTTCTCCCTCCCTTTCCCTCTCTAAAAATAAATAAATAAAATCTTAAAAGAATTCCTCAACAAACCATGGATGAAATTGATGAGGGACTCATTGTCTTTCCAGTATGTTGCTGCAGGTTTTCCCAGCTCACCTTTACCAAAAGTCTTCAAGTATGGCCACCAGCTCCCCCTCTTCATGGGTCTCTAATGCCTTTAGTTCTTCAGAGTTGTGGGAGATAATGAACAGTTGGCTTTGCCTGGCCACCATACCCCTTGATGTAGTGTCTGGACCAACATGCTTGCTCCAGCAAATGACTAAAGACTTTTGGTTAAAGAATTGCATGCAGTAGCCAATGCATATCCCCATGCATAGGGCCATAAATTGAAAACATGCTGCCAAGTGCTTCTGCCAACTTCTGGTTTTAAATAGATAACATCAACTGGTAAGGAAGGCGAGTGGATGACACTAGACCCCTAATAGCTTCTTAGTGTCATCAGCTTTGCTGGCCATCCAAATACAAAGGAGTTGGGGGGTTTTTTACATTGAGGCAAGAAAAAGGTAAAACTATATGTCCCTTTGATCTTCTTTCCAATATTGACATCCATCAGCTTAACACCTTGTTAATAACAGACAATAAGAAAATCTCCCAGTGCTTGGAAACTGAACAACATACTTCTCAACAATCCATGGGTCAAAGAAGTTTCAAGGGAAATTTAAAAAAATACTCCGAACTGAATGGAAGTGAAAATACAACATAGCAAAATGGGCGAGACACAGCTAAAACAATTCTGAGAGGGAAATTTTATACACTACATGCATACATATGAAAAGAGGACAAGTCTCAAATAAAAAACCTGAGCTCTCACTTAAAAAAACTAGAAAAAGAAGAGCAAAATGAACCTAAAGCTAGCATAAGGAAGGAAACTAAAGATAAGACCAGAAATCAAGGACATAGGAAGCAGAAAAATAATAGAGAAAATCAATGAAATGAAGATCTGCTTGTTTGAAAACATCAATTAAAACTGAAATAGGGGAGCCCTAGCCAGTGTAAGGCTAGGTTGGTTGGAGCGTCATCCAGTAAACTGAAAGGTTGGAAAGGTCTTGGGTTCAATTTCCAGTCAGGGTCGCCCCCCCCCCAGTTCAGGTGCATGTGGAAGGCAACTGATGATGTTTCTCTCTCATATCAATATTTCTGTCCCTCTCTCCCCCTCCCTTCTTCTCCTCTCTCTCTAAAAAAAATCAATAACAATTTTTAGCCCTAGCTGGTGTGGCTCAGTGGATTGAGCACTGGCCTGAGAACCAAAGGGTCTCCGGCTCAATTCCCAGTCAAGGCACATGCCTGAGTTGTGGGCCAGATCCCCAATAGGGGGTGCTCGAGACACAAGTACACATTAATGTTTCTCTCCCTCTCTTCCTCCCTCCCTTCCCCTTAGTCTAAAAAAATAAATACAATCTTTAAAAAAAATCCCAGCAAGATTTCTTGTAGATTTAGATCGTATTATTCAAAAATTTATATTGAAAGACAAAGAAATTAGAAGCTACAACACTTTTTTGTAAAGAAGAATAGAGTGAAAAGAATCAGTCTACCCAATTTCAAGACTTATTATACAGCTATAGCAATAGAGACAGTGTGTTATTGGCAGGGAAAAACACATACATCAATTGAACATAATAGAGAACCTAGATATATACCCAACTGATTTTTGGCAAAGGTGCAAAAGTAATTCAATGGAGTAAGGAAAGGGTTTGAAGCAATTGCCCTGGAGCAACTGGACATCCATCTGCAGGCAAACAAACAAACAAACAAACAACAACAACAACAACAAAAAGAACCTACAACTCTCATCCTAACCTTACATCTTATACAAAAATTAACTCAAAATGTATCCTGGACATAAATGTAAAATTTTCAAGGGGGAAAAAGAAAGCCTTCAGGACCTAAGGCTAGGCAAAGAATTGTTAAATCTGAAAGCAACAGCATGATCTACACAAGGAAACATTGTTTATTAGACTTTATTAGACTTAATTAGAATTAAAAGGCTTTGCTTTTGAAAGAGTTTGTTAAGTAAGAGAATGGAAAGACAAGCTACAGACTTGGAGAAAATACTTACAAATCACATATCTGAGAAAGGATGAGTATTGTGAATATATAAAGAACTCAAAACCTAACAGTAAGAACGAACAAACAATTTAATTAGAAAATGGACAAAAACATGAACAGACATTTCACTAAAGAGGATGTGCAGATGGCCAATAAGCATATAGAAAGATGTTAGCCATCATTATCCACTAGGAAAATGCAAACTAAAACTACATTGAGATATTGCCACATGCCTATCAGGATAGCTAAACTAAAAAAAAAAAATAGTGATAATACCAAATGCTGGTGAGGATGCAGAGAATAGGGTCACTCATACAGGGTTGATGGGAAAGTAAAATGTAACTGCCACTTTCAAAGACAGTCTGGCATTCCCTATAAAACTAAACATGCAATTACCATATGGCCCAGCAGTTGTACTTCCCAACATTTATTCTAGAGAAGTGAAGACTTATGATCACACAAAAATCTGTACATGAATAGCAGCTTTATCCATAATAGCCTAAAACAGCAAACAACACAGATGTCCTTCAGTGCATAATTGGTTAAAGAGTATTATTTACTTGTTTATTTTTAGAGAGCGGGGCAGGGAGAGAGAAAAAGAGGGAGTGAAACATCAATATGAGAAACAGACAAATCAGTTGCCTCTCGTCATTGACCAGGGACCAAACCTGCAACCTAAGCATGTGCCCTGACCAAGAATCAAAGCAATAACCTTTCTTTTTTCAGGAAAATGCTCAATCCACTGAGCCACACCATTCAGGAACAGTGGATGACTGGTTAAATAAACTGTGGTACATCTACACCATAGAATACTCCTCCAGAGAATTGTGCTGAGTGAAAAAACAAGCTCCAAGAATGGAACAGTATGATCTCTAAGATCCCATTCATATAACATTTTTGAAATGACAACATTGTAGAAATGGGGAACACACAATGGTTAGAAGGGAATAAGGAAAGCTTGGGGGGAGGGGCAAAGGACAGTGGTTGTGACCATAAAGAGGCAACAGGAATGACTATAACAGGTGTGACTATAAAAAACAACTCCAAGCCCTGGCTGGTGTAGCTCAGTGGATTGAGCACGGGCTGGGAACCAAAGTGTCCCAGGTTCGATTCCCAGCCAGGGTACATGCCTGGGTTGCAGGCCATAACCCCCAGCAACTGCACATTGATCTCTCTCTCTCTCTCTCTCTCTCTCTCTCTCTCTCTCTCTCTCTCCCTCCCTCCCTTCCCTCTCTAAAAATAAATAAATAAAATTTTTTAAAAAAACCCAATTCCAGACTTCTGGTCAAGATGAAGGTATAGGTAGACATGCTTTGCCTCCTTGCACAACCATAAGAAGGATCACAGCTAACCTCAAAACAAAAAACACCTAGAAACTTCCAGAAAATCCAACTGTGTGGAAGTCCAACAACCAAGGACTTAAAGAATCCATGTTCAGCCCTGGCTGATGTAGCTCAGTGGATTGAGTGTGGGCCTGTGAATCAAACAGTCACTGTTTCAATTCCCAGTCAGGGCACATGCCTGTGTTGCGGGCCAGGTCCCCAGTGGGGGGCACATGAAAGGCAACCACACACTGATGTTTCTCTCTCTCTCCTTTCCTTACCCTTGCTCTAAAAATAAATAAATAAAATATTTTTAAAAATTAATTAAAGTACAATTGACATACAATATTAGTTTCAAAAAAAAATAAAGAATCCATGTTCATCTAGACAGGTAGGAGGGGAAGAGCTGGGGAGGTGGGGTGGAGAGGACACACTGTGGTGGTGGAGGCCAGAGGATGGGACAGTTGCACATTCATGTGTGGTGGATAAAATCTAGAGGAATACTTTGGGAGTGAGCGATCCCAGCCCCAGGATAGACTGCACAGCCTAGGGTTCCAGCACCGGGAAATAAAGCTTCATAACTTCCGGCTGTAAAAACCAGTGGAGGTTGGGATGGTGGAAGAAACTGCAGGTCTCTTGGGACAGTTCATTCAAAGAGTCCACACAGTCCTAGAATGAACACAAACCTACCCACTCTGTGAACCACCACCAGGGAAGCAGCTAAAGGGGCACCAGTCACATATAAGAAGGGGGTGAAGTGACTGGAAATGGGGCAAGTGCTGAGCAAGCCTCCAGTGGCACTGTTGCCTGTCCAACTCTTTCCCCACATACAGAGCCACAAAGTGGTGAAACAGGTTGCCCTGCCCTGGTGAATTCCTAAGACTCCGCTCCATACAACTTAATTGGTGTGCTAAGACAGGGAGTCAAGCAGCTCTACCTTATACACAGAAACAAACACAGGGAGGCTGCCAAATTGAAGAGACAAAGATATATAGCCCAAATGAAAGAACAGAACAAAACCCCAAAAGAAGAATTAAGTGAAACAGAGATAGCCAATCTGTCAGATGCAGAGTTCAAAACACTGGTGATAAGGAGGCTCAGAGAACTCACTGAGTACAGCAAAAGCATAAGGGAAAGAATGAAGGCTACACTAAGTGAAATAAATAAAAATCCACAGGGAACCAACAGTGAAGGGGAGGAAGCCAGGGTTCAAATCAACGATTTGGAACAGAAGGAAGAAATAAACAATCAACCAGAACAGAATGAAGAAATAAGAATTAAAACAACAACAACAACAAAAAGAAAAACAAGAAGAGAGGTACTTACATGGCAGGGGAGATACCATGATCATAAAGGTGGTTTTCCTAGAGTGAGGCTTATCCTTTGTACTCCAGATGTGCTGGCCCCTGTGATTTCCCCAAATGTGGGGAACTCAACTGCATAATTTGTGGTACTGGGGGACTGCATTTGCCCTCTCCCCCCGCACAAGGAGAGAGAATAAGAAGATTCTGGGACATCTCCAAAAATGCCAACATCTGAATCATAGGGATGCCCAAAGGAAAAGAGGAAGAGCAAGAAATTGAAAATTTATTTGAAGAAAAATGAAAGAAAACTTCCTTAATGTATGCCCTGGCTGGCGTAGCTCAGTGGATTGAGCGCGGGCTGCAAACCAAAGTGTCGCAGGTTCGATTCCCAATCAGGGTACATGCCTGGGTTGCAGGCCATGACCCCCAGCAACCGCACATTGATGTTTCTCTCTCTCTCTCTATCTCCCTCCCTTCCCTCTCTAAAAATAAATAAATAAAATATTTTAAAAAAAACTTCCCTAATGTGGCTAAGGAAATAGACATACAAGTCCAGGAAGCACAGAGAGTCCCAAACAAGTTGGATCCAAACAGGACCACACCAAGACACATCATAATTAAGATGCTAAAGGTTAAAGATAAAAGGAGAGTCTTAAAAGCAGCAAGAGAAAAGAAGAGAGTTACCTACAAAAGAGTTCCCATAAGGCTATCAGCTGATTTCTCAAAAGAAACTTTGCAGGCAAGAAGGAACTGGCAAGAAGTATTCAAAGTGATGAAAAGCAAGGACCTACAACCTAGATTACTCTATCTAGCTAAGCTATCATTTAGAATGGAAGGGCAGACAAAGTGCTTCCCAGACAAGGTAAAACTAAAGGAGTTCATCATCACCAAGCCATTATTATATAAAATGTTAAAGGGACTTATCTGAGTAAAAAAAATAATAATAAAACTATGAACATTAAAATGACAACAAAGTGAACTATCAACAACTGAGTCTATAAAACAAAAACAAAAGTAAACTAAGAAACAACTAGAACAAGAACAGAACCATAGAAATGGAGATCACATGTAGGGTTATCAGTGGGGAGGAGGAGGAGGGAGAAGAGGGGAAAAGGTACAGGGAATAAGAAGCATAAATGATAGGTACAAAATAGACAAGGGGAGGTTAAGAATAGTATGGGAGCCCTGGCTGGTGTAGCTTGGTGGGTGGAGTGTCAGCTTGAGAACCAAAAGGTCACTGGTTACATTCCTGGTCGGGGCACGTGCCTGGGTTGCGGGCCAGGTCCCCAGTTGGGGGTGTGTGAGAGGCAACCATTTGATGTTTCTCTGCCTCTTTTTCTCCCTCCCTTCCCTTCTCTCTAAGAATAAATAAATAAAATATTTTTTAAAAATTAAAAAAAAAAAAGACCTGGCTGGCGTAGCTCAGTGGATTGAGTACGAGCTGCAAACCAAAGTGTCGCAGGTTCAATTCCCAGCCAGGGTACATGCCTGGGTTGCAGGCCATAACCCCCAGCAACCGCACATTGATGTTTCTCTCTCTCTCTCTATCTCCCTCCCTTCCCTCTCTAAAAATGGATAAATAAAATCTTTAAAAAAATAAAAAAAGAATAGTATGGGAAATGGAGAAGCCAAAGAACTTATATAGCATGACTCATGGACATGAACTTATGTAGGAGAATTGGTGGAAGGAAAAGGGGTACTAGGCAGAGGGGGGCAAAGGGAAAAAATTGGGAAAACTGTAATGGCGTAATCAATAAAATATACTTTAAAAAACACTACTTCACTATGTTAGTCAGGATCAATCACCCCAGCCAGCACAGGAACGCTGTCCCTTTTCTGTAATTCAGAAGCATGAGGAGCCTGAAGTGGCTGGGTGGCAGTATTAAGTTCCAGTCAATAGAATCATTGCTCTATCTCTTGGTGGAAGCATTCCTCCCTCTGGGACTATGATCTTCAGGCTTGCAGACCATAAAGTTGCAGGAAAAGAAAGCAAACATTTTGCTAGTAGGTTACTAGAGTTAATATTGAGTGGTCCACTTGCATTCCCTCCCCTTGATTCATTGGCCCATGAATCCTGCCTATGGGAGAATCTGGACCATATATTGGATACTGATTCACCTATACAGCCTTCTGAGGAACATTGCTCAGCCTTGCCAGCCCACCTAGCTGGCCCTGTAACTGAATCTCCAGAAGGTCACTCCACCTTTCCATCAAGCTGGCTGCTTTAGGATAGTGAGGGACATGGTAAAGCCTTTGAGTTCTATGAGCATGGACACTTTGCCTCACTTCTTTTCTGTGAAGTGAGCTCCTTCAGAGCAGTGTTGTTTGGAATACCACGAAGGTAGATAAGGCACTCTGTAAGTCCATGAACAGCAGTTTTGGCACAAGCATTGTGTGCAGGGAAAGAAAATGCATATTCCAGTTGAGTGTCTATTCCAGCAAGAATAAATAGCTGCCCCTTCCATGATAGAATGAATACCATATACACTAATATTTAAAGTTTTAATTTATTTTTATTTTTAAAAAATATTTTATTTATTTATTTTTAGAGAGATGGGAAGGGAGGGAGAAAGAGGGAGAGAAATATCAATGTGTGGTTGCCTTTCACATGCCCCCAAATGAGGACCTGGCCTGCAACCCAGGCATGTGCTCTGATTGGGAATCGAACCAGCTTTGCAGGCCGATTGTCAATCCACTGAGTCACACCAGCCAGGGCAAAAAACGTAATACTTTCTTTGGTGACGTTAATAAATAAGGAATTCACTCACTTTTAAATAAGGAATTAACTCAGTTTTTTTCTCTGAAAATGTTTATTTCACTTCATTCTCAAAGGATATTTTATCAGTTAGCTTTTGCTATGTAGTGAACTACCACCAAACAGTAAATTATTAATTCACAATTATGTGTGCCAGCAATTTGGGCTGGGCACAGTTGCATGGTCCTTCTTATGGTCTTGTGTGGGCTCACTCATGTAGTTGCTGTCAGCTGACAGACAGCTTGGCTGGAGTAACAGAATGAGTGAGGCCTGTGTCTCCAGTGGACAAGTCCAAGTATATTCACATGGTGGTGGTCACAGAACTCCTGACAGCAGAAAGGGAGAAAGTCCTGATGTACGTGTACGTTTTTAAAAAAGATTTTATTTATTTACTTTTAGAGAGAGGGAAACGGAGAGAGAAAAAGAAGGAGAGAAATATCAATGTGAGAGAGAGAGATAATGAATCGGTTGCATATCACTCACCCCCAGCTGGAGACCTAGCCTGCAACCCAGGCATGTGCCCTGACTGGGACCAGAACCAGCAACCTTTCAATTTGCAAGCTGGTAATCAATTCACTGAGCCACACAATCCAGGACTGTACCTGCACTTTTTAAGCTTCATGCTTCTTAATGTCCCATTGGCCAAAGCAAATCACAAACCCAAGGCCAGATTTAACAGGGGAGAAATGGACTCCATCTCTTTTTTTAATTATATTTTATTGATTATGCTATTACAGTTGTCCTGATTTTTCCCCCGTTGCTCCCCTCCACCCAGCATCCCCTATTCCCTCAGGCAATCCCCCCACCATTGTTCATGTCTACAGATCATGTGCGTAAGTTCTTTTGCTACTCCCTTTCCTATACTGTACTTTACATCCCCATGGCTATTCTGTACCTACCTATTTGCACTTAATCCCCTCACCTCTCACCCATTCTCCCACACCCTCTTCCATCTCTTTATTTTTAACCTTTGGTATTTTAATTATTATTATTTTTAAAAAGATTTTACTTACTTTTAGAGAGAGGGGAGGGGAGGGAGAGAGAGAGGGAGAGAAACATCAATCTGTGGTTGCCTCTCGCACATCCCCTACTAGGGACCTGGCCCACAACACAGGCATGTGCCCTGACTGGGAATCGAACCAGTGACCCTTTGGTTCAAAGGCCCACACTCAATCTAATGAGCTAAACCAGCTGGGGTCTGGTACTTTAATTATTATGTGTCTTAGAGTGGGCCTCTTTGCATCCATCTTGGATGGGACTCTCTGTGCTTCCTGGATTTGCATGTTTATTTCCTTGGCCAAATTAGGGAAGTTTTCTTTCATTATTTCTTCAAATAGATTTTCAATTTCTTGCTCTTTATCTTCTCCTTCTGGCACCCCATATGATGCAAATGTTGGATTGCTTAAAGTTGTCCCACAGGCTGCTTACATTATCCTGGTTTTTTTGGATTCTTATTTCTTCTTGCTGTGCTTATTGGATGTCTTTTTCTTCCTTTCTTCCTTTCTTCCTATGTTCCAAATCATTGATTTGATTCTCAGCTTCATCCACTCTACTGTTGTTTCCCTGTAAATTGTTCTTTATTTCAGTTAGTGTATCCTTCGTTTCTGACTGGATCTTCTTTATGCTGTTGAGGTCCTCACTAAGTTCCTTGAGCATCCTTATAACCAGTGTTTTGAACTCTGCATCTGATAGATTGCTTATCTCTCTTTTGTTTAGTTCTTTTTCTGGAGTTTTGATCTGTCTTTCCATTTGAGCCATTTCTTTGGCAGCCTCCCTATGTTTGTTTCTGTTAAGTAGAGCTGCTATGAATCCTCTGTCTTGGTAAGTGTGGCCTAATGCAGTAGGTATCCTGTAGGATCCGGTGGCACAGCCTTCGTTATCATCCAAGCTGGGTACTCGAGATGCACCCTTCATGTGGGCTGAGTACACCCTCCTCTAGTAGTTGAGGCTTGGTTGCTGTTGGCAGGTCAATGGGAGGGATTTACCCAGGTCAGTCAGCTGCAAGGATTGTCTATGACTACTGACCACCAAACTCTGCCCTCCGTGGAGGATCAGCTGTGCAGGGGCAGGGTGGTGGTGCTCTGACGTCGTCTGTAGCTGTCCACTGGGTGCTCTGGCCCTGGGGTTTGCCAGGTGGTGCAGGCCAAGGTCAGTCCCCACCTGTATTTTGCCTGGGGCCACCCTGCCTGAGCTATAAAGCAATCTGAGAATGCTGCTACTTGTGCTGGGCTTGAAGATCCCCAGGCAAAGCCAAGCTGTGAATCTAGGCTGCTAGTTCTGAGCCTGGGGCTCACTGAGGTCAGCTACTTGTTTGAGAGGATTTAGGGAGTTGTGAAGCATGAGCCAAGAACTGCCATTCACATAGAAAAGCAGCTTGGGTGGGCCTGAAAGTGGGGTGGGGTGGAGTCTCTGGGGATCTCCAA